CCATGTGAGGCTTCAGGATGATTCTCGGCCCCGCCCTTGCTAGGGCCATGAGTACAACTCACTGTGGATCTACAGTCCATTTCAATCCTTTAAATGACAACTTTATTTTGTCAGGCTATGGCCTTCAACCACTCAAGCAGACACACCAGGAAAAGGTGATTCCCAAGACAGTAAACTAGAAGAAGCACAAATCCCTCTGGACTGCTCCTTTCTGCAGTCTCAGCCCTGGAGCTAATTATGTACAGGAGCAGCTCAGGTCTCAGAGCAGCCAGGAACCTCAGGAGGCCTCCACTCAACAAATGCCCTCTCCGGGCTGGGTTCAGGGACTGCGCCCTCTGTGGATGGAACCCTAGACCCTGGAAGGAAGCTGCATCCCTGACCCAGGACCCAACTCTCCCACTGCTGGCTCCTCACTCTCTGCACCTTTGCTCTTCAATGTCAAGGTAAACGAGGGGAGACCCAGTTACTCATGAGCACCTTGCTGGGCCTCCTCTCTCCTTCAGGGAGTCCCCCAAAGGGCTGTGAAGCAGATTCTCTGACTTGGCCTAGGAGGGAGCTTACTTTAGGCAGAGGAGGAAAACTATGGAAAGCAAAGTGAGCTCTTGAGGAGAGAATCTTCTTCTACCTGATGCTGATCTTTGACCCTCGTCATGGAATTTTTCAGGTCCCAGAAAAGACTCAGACTAAAAGGGTGTATGTAATTCTGCAAGTTGCAAGCAACGGAAGTAGCACCCAAAGGAACCTGAAGTGAACGGGGAACACTAACGCCAGCCACACACTCCAGTGAAGACCAGGGCTAAGCCAGGTGTTGGGAAAAATCAGCAGGGAAACAAAAAGAGAATCTCTGTCATTCAAATTCTCACATGATGTTAGAGCAAGTAGCTTAAGATAAAATACCATTTCAAAGAAGTCTAGAGCATTGGGTAGAATTTAGGACAAGGAACAGGAAGTCTACCCCACATAGAAAGAAACCCCATTTGCAGGAAGGTTGGGGCGGCTGAGGGGGAGCGGGCTGTGAGGAAGTGGGCGGAGCTGCGGGAGTGAGCACTTCCGGGCCGCAGGGAAGAGGAGGAGTTCACTCGGGTGAGGCTGTGGAAGGAAGTGAGTAACCCTGAAATACACTTACTTATTTGTGCAAGTGTGCAGTGGTTGCTTGAGGCCACCACTTGCAGGGAAGACAAATTTAAGGGTCGTAAATGGAAAAGCTGGCTATTCTGAGGTGACCATTGTACATCCCGTATATGCGTGTGATAGGAACACAGGACAACATCAATAGGTAAAAATTATTAAATAAATAACAGATGTAAAACCAGGCTTTATGTACTTTGATTTGTGTGCTGTCTGTTTCTACGGTGTTGAGGATTGACCCCAAGGCTGTGTGCATGCTAAGGCAGTGATGGGAAGCCTTTTCCAGCTTTCAGGGATAAGAAACTGAGCCTTTCCTGCAGTTGTTTTGCACAGAGAAAAGGCCTGGCACATTTCACTGAATGCAGAGGACCCCAGGCTTAACCTCCTGTCCCAAATGCTAGGGTTTCCTGTCCTCTGCAGGCATGTGAACACTGCGTTCTCCTCACCCGTTCTCCAGCTGGACTATTTTAAACAGTGCTGCGATGGAGCGGAGGTAGTTCGTTCGTCGACACGCTGCCACGTTTCCTCGGTTATGTCCTCCACAATGGGCACGACTGGGCCCCAGGTGGGTGTCCCAGTTTGATTCGCATTGTCTTCCACAGTGACTGCACTGATGCACACCCCGTGAGCAGTCCTGGGTTCCTTCCCCAGCCCCTGCCCACATTTGTTGTCTTTGCCTCTTCTACATCAGCCGTTGCAACAATGGGAGGGGAGGGACAGCTACACACAGACTCACAGCTACACAGGGTCTCACTCTAGTTTGGAGTCTGACAAAATCGATCTTACTGAAGCAGAGAGTAGAGCGGTGGTAACTCTACTGGTGGCAGCTGTGAAGGGGTGGGGTTGAGAGATGGACCCTAACTAACAGAGACAGCGGAAAGGAAAAGTCAGGAGTTCCTTTCTGAATTCTTGCAAACCTATAAGAGTGCATGTTGGATGCTTTCACCCCCAGGACGGTTACAGTTTGGATAACATCTCTTTTGATTACTGCAGCCACACCACAGTGTGCAGGTACTTCAGGGTACTTGGTGTTGCACATGGTATACAAATAAGTATGTGCTGGTAAAGAAGTGAATTTAAAAAGTATGACATTTATTTATTCAGTGCTGGCTCTTCACACCTTTTTGATGTGCTTTCCTGCTAGAAATACTTGCAGTGCACTTCCCTCTCCTCCCGGTGGGAGCCCACAGAAGGATCAGGACACCAGTGTCACAGCGTCCCTGTCCCTGCAGCGGTTCCCACCACCCATCCTCCCTGGGCCCAGACCCCGGACACCAAGGTAGCCTCTTCCTGCTGCTGCATTTGCGACCCAACTGTCAGTCGCTGCCTAAACAAACAAAATAAACAACTCGGAGAATGAAGCTCAAAAGACAGGGGTCTGACAGCACCGAATGATCGGTTTCCTTAGAGTTTCATAAACTGGATGGTATTTCCATTAAGAAAGCCAGTGGATAGATTTTCTCATAATTTCCCTTTTATTCTGTTTGTTTTAAGAGTGTAAACAAGAAAGCCCACAGGGTCTCTTCCTGGGGTTTTTTCCAGAACCAAGTGCCCTCTCCTATGAGGAGATGCATGTGAAGCAGACTGACACACAGGAGTCCCTCTCTGTCCCTGCAGCTCTGTCCCCTGCAGATTGGCTCATTCTCCAGCAGGGAACGAGGAAGCACCGGCCTCAGAGGACTTTGGCTGTGTCCATCTCATGCTCTGCTCCCCTGGTGCATGGCCCGGTGTCTCTGTCTCTGCTCCACCGTCCTCTGCATCCACCACACAGGTTTACCTGCAATGACTAAGTGCAAATTGCAGGTGTGCTGTGAGCACCCTTGCTCTGGAGTTGATGAAATCTGGCTCCTTTCCCTGGGAGCTCGCTGAGGTGCAGGCTCCTTAGGCTGGAACTGCCGAAGTGGTAGTGGATGCCCGGAAACACAGCTTCCCTCCAGCCACGTAGATTCTTCTGTGCTACTGTGGGCTGTTGTGGGAGGTTTTGTTGGATTTTTTTAAAACATGCTTAGAACACAGAAGTCACCAGTTTCCAAGAGCCTTCTGCTCTTGAACATGCTGTCAGTGCACTGAGTCTTTTCCAGAGGTTAACAGTGAACATTATTTTCTGCATTTTAGAGCAAGGCAGAGAGTCAGGGTGGTGACCTGCTCTGCCCCAAGTCAAGGGACACGGGTCAGGCCAGCACATGCAGATTCAGAGAGGACGACTGTAGAGGCAAACAGTGTATCCAGCGCCCACTGTAGTCAGCCCCCAATAAACACGATGCCCACACCCGACATCCAGGCCTCGCTCTCCGGTGGGGTTCCTGTTCCTGTTGGTTAGAAGCCAGCTGCATTTGACACTGAGGACCACACAGTTGTAAATGCTCACACTTTGTTCAGTGCTGCTCTCTCCTTTATCCTTTACTTATCATCAAATTGAGCATTTTATCCTGAGATTCTAGTTCTCTCTCTTTCTGAACCTTTGGATATTTGTCATGCTTATGTTGTGATCAATTGATGTCAATTTTCCAGGATCCTGATGACTATACATTTGCAGGCTGATTTCAACCTGTACCTGCAGCATCGGACTCTGAACCCTTTATGTGTGTGATAACAGCTGCTCCTTCCAGGGTGTGGCCTTGGGAAGCTGTGCTGGAGATCATTTTACTCCATACATTGATTAAATGTAGTTATGTCACTGTGATTCTAATTTCAATATTTTTTTCAAAAGTAAAGAAAAACAATATGGTTTATAACATTTTTAAAAATATCAGTTCCTTTTTTCAGTCTTTATGTTTGAAATTCTGATACTTATTTATGGAACTAACTCATGCATACCCCATCCATTTATGAGATAGAAACTGTTCTTTGCAATGTGGCATACATGACAATATTTACTCTGTATGGAACTTTTTTGATATACCAGAGAATTTTGTAAAGATGAAAATGAAAATGATAGAACTATGAGTCAGGAAGAGACAGCACAGTGAAGATGTCTTGGTCTGCTTGGGCTCCATAAAAATCTATTCAAAAGGTACAGTGTAGGAAACCCAGGAAACACAGATGCAACTTCCTCCCCTCCAGGATGGTGAATGACCAAGCAGCACAGCAGGAACAGCAAAGCTGCCCAGCATGCAGAAAGCTGCAGCCCTTACACAGTGGTGGGGAAAGGAAATCAGCACAGCAGCGGGGCAAGCACAGCTTTCATCACAGAATTAGCCTGCATTTACCCTAGGGGCAGAAAGGTCACTTCTGGGCACCTGAGTGCACAGCAGCAGTGATCATGGTAGCAAACATGGAGACAAAGTGTGCATCAAATGGGAGATGAACACGTCAGTGAACTTTGTATATACGTGCACTGTGAGCATTAAAGAAAATGTTGGTGTATTCACCAGTGTGGATCAAATTATGGGATATGATGTAAGGGGAATGAGTTGCTAACCGTGTTAGAAATGTTGTGTGATTCTACTTTAGTGTCATGAAAATTGCGCTGTTATAGAATACAATGGGGTCTCCGTGGTGGAGAGGGACAGGAGATATCGTATGAGATGGGTTTGTAGGGTGAAAAGATTCAGAAAATGGGTGGTGGTGATGATGGTACAAAATTATCAATGTTCTTAATTTCAGTAAAATCAATTGGAAAGAATAATGTAACTGCATTGGTAAGGTAATACACGTATTGTGGATCTTACCATGAGAAAAATAGGAAAAAAGAACAAGAGAGAGCATTGTCTTAAATAATCTCCATTAATGCCTTATTCCTGACAAAAAAATAGTTCACAGAGTCAAATGAATATATTGTGCATAAAAGCATACATGAATAATACCAATGAGGAGAAAAAGAGTCCTCAAAACCTGTCTGTTTCCTTCCAGCCGTACACTAGAGACAGATGCCATGGAAATGGACAATGCGAGTTTTCCTAACACTTTCGTCCTGCTGGGCTTCTCAGAGTTTTCCTGGCTGGAGAGGCCCCTCTCTGCAGTGGTCCTGGTCTCCTACATCCTCACCCTGGTGGGGAACAGCTCCATCGTCCTCCTCTCCCTGGTGGACCCCAGGCTGCAGACGCCCATGTACTTCTTCCTGGACAACCTCTCTCTGCTGGACCTCAGTCTCACCTGCACCACTGTGCCCCAGCTACTGTCCAATCTCTGGGGACCAGACAAGACCATTGCCTCCTGGGGCTGTATCACCCAGAGCTGTCTCTTCTGCTTGGCAGCCAGCACCGAATGTGCCCTGCTGGCCGTGATGGCCACTGATCGCTATGTGGCCATCTGCCGGCCACTTCAGTACAGTCTCATCATGCGTCCCTGGGTCTGTGTGCAGATGACAGTTGTATGCTGGTCCAGCGGCCTGGCCAATGCTCTGCTCCAAGCCACACTCACCCTCCAGCTCCGCCTCTGTGGACACCACACCCTGGACCACTTCTTCTGTGAGATGTCTGTGCTCATCAAGTTGGCCTGCGGGGACACCTCTGCTAATGATCTGGCCCTCACCTTGATGACCATCCCATTTGGAATGGTGGCTCCCCTGATGATCATTATCTCCTACACCTTCATTGCCAGGGCTGTACTGAAGCTGCCTTCAGCTGAAGGCAGGCGCAAGGCACTCAGCACCTGCAGTTCCCACTTGCTCGTGGTCACCTTGTACTTTGCACCAGGCACTTACTTGTACCTCCAGCCTTCATCCAAGAGTTCCCAAGCCAAGTTCATATCCTTTTTATGCTGTGTTATCACCCCAGTGCTCAACCCACTCATCTACACCCTGAGAAACAAGGATGTGAAGACGGCGTGGAAGAGGATCCTGCAATCCCAGAGCAGTGTGAAGTCTTTAAAAGCCAGATGACCTCTGCCTGTCTCCTGAGCAATCCCAGGAACACATCAGTGAGCAGACTTATTACACCTGCTTTTCCTAAAGAGCATTCGTGAACTTCATGGAAGGTTTTCCAGTTCTCAATGTCGGCCACCTCAGTGACTGGAAAAACCCTTGGGACCAGAATATTCTATCACATTTAGTCTCATCGGCAGACCTGGTTCTTTCCAGAGCCCTTCATATGTGTCTGGTCTCTAGAGAGAATGTGCTGCATAATTCATACATCTTTGACTGGTTAGTGAGAATCTCTCTTCCTCTCTCTCTCTCTCTCTCTCTCTCTCTCTCTCTCTCTCTCTCTCTGTCTCCCTCCCTCCCTCTCTTTATATCTTTGTCCTTTCTTTCCATCCTTCCTTTTCACCATAATTATCTCCTTGTACTAGTTGTACACAATAATAGTTTTCATTGTGACTCTTCTCTGATGTGTGCTATGGGCATTAATCACATCCATCCTCCACCTTCCCCCTCTTAGACTTCGTATGTGCTCCACTGCACACCTTTTCCTTCCCTGATGGTCACTCCTCTTCTATCATGTCATCTCCCCCACCTCAATTCCGTGTATGACAAGAACTGTCATGTTTGGCTTTCAGTGTCTGTCTTGATTTTCTTAGGGTGATGACCTTCAAGTCCATCAACTTTCCTGAACATGACATGATTTTGCTTTCCTTCATCACTGAATAATATTTCATTGTGTATGATTTTTTAATTTATTCATCCACTGAGGGGCATCTAAGTTGATTCCATAACTTTACTACTGTGACTATTAGTACAATAGATATTGGTATATAAGTATTTGTACTGTATTCTGACTTTAATTGCTTCAGATAGTATAACATGGAATGATATACTACATCTTATGTTTCCTCTATGTTTAATTTTATGTCTTTAAAAGAATCTCAGTTCATATTTCACAGTAGCTGTGCTAGTTTACATCTCCACCAACAGTGTGTAAGGATTAAAATAAACTGACCTCAAGTAAATGTAAATGAATCGAAATTATACCATGATATCAGATTATGGCACAGTGCGGTCAGAAATAAACAACAAAAATTGCAGAAATTATGCAAATGTAAGGAAACTAAACAGTATACTCTGAATTAGACAATGGGTTACAAAAATTTAGGAAGAAAAAGACATATCCCAGGACTAAATGATAATGCAAGTACAGAACTTACAGGACACAATGAAAGCATTCCCAAGTGGAATGTTTATAGCTGTGAATGCCCATATCACAGAAACAGAGTGAGCGTAAACAACCTAAGTATGTACCTAAAGGTTCCAGAAAAACAAGAACAATCCAATCCCAATGCTAGTACAAGGGATGCAATTATACAGACCAGAGAAGAGACCAGTGAAATTGAGCCTAAAAATAAAAAGAATTAATGAATTAAATAATTGGTTCTTCAAAAACAAACAAAAACAAAAATAGAGAAACCCTTAGGCAACCTAACCAAAAAAAAGAGTCAGGAGCCAAATCAATGCAATAGAAGTGAAAAGAGTGAAATAACAATGGAGAATGAAAACAAAACAAAACAAAACAGAAAAACACATTAGTAACATCTACTTCACAAATGTGTACACCAACAAGCTGCAGAATTCAGAACTAATGGATAGTTACCTAGATACATACAAATTGACAAAATTAAACCAAGAAGTTTGAAAAACCCTGAATAATCCTGTAATATTAAAATAATAAAATTAATACAAAATTTAAAAAAAATAAAGCAGTAATAAATAACACACCAAGAAAATACCTAGTCCAGAAAATACCAGGTCCGGTTTACTGCTGAATTCACAAAAACTTCAAGGAAGTTCAAACACCAATATTCCTCAAGATTTTTAATGAAATTGAAAGGTAAGAGTGCTGCAGAGTCATTCCTGGAAGATACCAATACCATATTTCAAAACTAGACAAGGATTCAACCAAAAGGAGAACTATATTCCCATGTCCTTAGTGAATAGAAATGCAAAAATCCTCAACAAGATACTGCCGAACTAAATGCAATGAATCATAAAAAAAATTGTACATCATGACCAAGTAGGCCTCATCCCAGAGATGCAAGGATGGTTCGACATAGCCATGTTGATCAATAAACATGATCCACCTCATAAACAGAAACAATCATATGATCATCTCAATACACATAAAAAGCCTTCAACAAAATACAACATTTTATGATTAAAACCACTGAAGAAAATGGCTATTGTGATAGTTCACTGATTGGGTCCACTTGAGTGAGAAGCGCCCAACTAAACTGGCTCATCAGAGTTCTGGGTGTGGAAGGCCCACCCTAGGGAGCACTATCCAGAACAGTACAAAGGGGAAGCAGGAGCTCCAGTCCTTGCCTTCATCTTGGGCGTCATCTCATGGCTGGCAGTGCAGACTCTTCAGCCTCCAGCACAGACCCTTTTCCTCCCTGATGTGGATTCCCATGGGACACTACACTGAGCTCCAGCCTTTGAAGATCCTTCAAGTCTCCTGCTTGCAGACAGCCCTTTAGCACACATGCACATCTGATGCTGTGGAAGGCCATTGTAAGCTACTCTTGTAAATTTTTTTTCTCATTGAGTTTATTGGTATATTTTAGGTATACAGTACAGTTACATTCATTATTGGGATCTTGTACCTTTACATGACAGGTCTTGGTTCTCATTTTTTCCCCTTTCCCTGCCCTCCCTTCACCCCCTCATAAATTCTTATATATCTTTATTCTTTTTAACAAAATCTGTTTCCCTAGTAAGCACTGCTTTATATGGGCATAAAAGAACATTATGTCAATCTGATCAAAGCCAGTGATGACATATCTACTGCCAAGATCATATTAAATAGGGACATTGCTACTACACTGTTATAGTGTACATGGGAATTCATACTAGTACTGCCACTATGGAAATCACTGCAGAAAATTCATTTGACCCAGCTATTCTACTGCTAGATATCTTCCTAAAAGAATTAAACTCATTACATTACAGTGACACAGACATATCATGTCTATAGCAGCACAACTCATGGTAGCCAAATATCGGAATCAGCCTGCATGCCCACTAACAGATGAATGGATAAGAAAATATAGTGTTTGTACACAGTGTAGTACTGCTATGCTATAAAGAAAGAAACTGGCTCATTTGTAAGAAAATGGATGTACCTTAAATGCATCATATCAATTTAAATAAATCAGACACACAAGCTCAAATATCACACTGTTTCTCTTATATGAGATGCCCAGAGTAAATTTAGCAATAACAGGAAGTAGAGAGATAGATCTTTCACACAGCGGAAATGGATCAGAGATGGAGGGAGAAGAGCGGTAGGAGAGTCACGGGGGGGGGAGAAGCAGAAATGGGGTGTGGCATGAGCAGGCAGCAACTTCACACAAGGAAAATAAACACTATGTACTGCAAACATGCACAGATAGGCAAGAGGCTCAAGACTGGGGGTAGAGAAGGGAAAAGACAAAAAATAATAGATGCTGTAATCCAAGCACATGAGAGTTATTTCCACTCCTGGTGTCTTCTTCAACTTCGTTCTACAGTGACTTGTAATTTTCCATGGAGAAATCTTTTACCTCATTTGATAAATTTATTCTTAGTATTTAGTGCATGTGTGCACACACGTGTGTATGTACATGTTTCTGTTGTCAGTGTAAGTTTTGACTATTTCCTTTCTGAGTGAATTTGTAATTAATATATCAGGAACTGATGCATTTTGCCTGTGGCTATTGGTTCCTACTACTCTGACGAAGCTACGAGTTTAGAAGATCTTTGGAGGACTCTGTAGCTCCTAGCTGTCTATAGCTCATCTGGGGGGATTTGACTTTGCCATGTTCCACTGGCTTCCCTTTTACTTCCCTCTCTTGTAATTGCTCAGGATAAAGTTTCCAGCCCCACACTGAATAAGAGTAGTGAGGATGGAACTGTCAAGAGAGCAGTGGGATTTTATTCTCGATGAAAGAAGTAGAGAAAATGTTTTAGGAGAATACAGAGCATGTACTTGGATTTAGAATGGGAAAAAATGAGAAAATCAAGATTGCCTAAAAATTGCCAGAAACTTAATCCATGAACATTCAGGAACAGCGGAAGGTACAATATATATATGCAGGGTGGATGGTGGAATTTCTTTCTGTTCAATGCCAGAAAATGCACCGTACCTAATATGGATTTAGCATTTTTGAGCATTAGGAAAAGTGATAACCTGGATATAGATGCCATCCAGGGAGCAGAAGGCCAGCTAATTCCTCATAAAGATAAATTATTTCATGGGAATAAAGGATCACAGAAAAGAGTAAGAGGACGGGTGTCCTGAGTGCTTTTTAAAAAACTTCTGCTAAAAGTACATTCAGTAAAATCTTGGTTTGGGAGGATAATTTGTTGTGCAGACATGCTTGTAATGCAAGGTACTTCTATATCAAAACGAATTTCCCAATGAAAATAACAGAAATGCAGATAATTCATTCCACATTCAAATAAATATAATATTATAATATAATATAAAATAACAAAGAAAATGTAAATAAAAAAAATTAATCTGCACTTACCTCTGAAAACCTTAATGGCTGGTGTGAGGGAGACAAGCAAGAGGAGGGTTATTCTGTGGGATGATTTTAACTGTCACTAAGAGAATCACTGCCATTGGCTCAATGGAATCTTTGTTTTCATGCAACTTTAACAAATCCCTGTCCAATGACACTTATCTTTGCTTCCTTTTGAAGATTTTGCAGAAATGTGATGTTGCATTGTTATTAAACAGATTCACCTCTCATATTACTACAGCCTTATTTATGTGGTGCTTTTCTACACAATTTTGTACTGTTTCCCACATTTTACAACTATCTCTAATCTCATTTGAAGTGAGGGATTCTTCATTCTTCTCCTCTGCAGATGAGAACTTCTCGCAAAATAGTTACTGTTAAAACATGACATCTCCCAATCCCAGTGAAGTGGGTGGAGGGAGGGAGGGAGAGAGAGACAGAGAGAGA